TATTAATTATAATAAATGTACTAGGCTGACATAAGATATTAATAATAGGAGGAAATGAGTATGGCGGATATGGTGTGTTGTATCTCTGTCTTTGCAACTTTTTCTATAAGTCTAAAACTTCTAAAAAATAAAATATATGAATTAAAAAAATAACTAGTGAATCACAACCAGCATTTTTCCTCTTCATGTCATTATGGCAATATTCAAATATACTGCAAAGTTTAAGGAATTTCACAGTGATTGCCTAAATACTCACCATTTAGATTCTACCATTAACATTTTATTATACTTAATCATGTATCTATCTGTCTATCCATCATGATTTGATTTTTTTTTGGCTGCATTTTAAAATAAATTATGGTGATGTCAGTACATTTTCCCCACATACTTCAGCATGTCTATCATTAGAGTATTAGTTTCTTCTTATGTAAAATTTACATATATTAAATACTTGAATCTTTAATGTACATTTGGTCAGTTTTGAAAAATCCATACATCTGTGTAACTCCAACCCCTGAAAACCGCATGTTTTACAAAATTAAATGTCACAGAAAACACTGTGTGACAAGTAGTACAAGTTAGTGTTGTTTTGTGAACTTGCGTTTCAAATATGTATGCATTTGTATACTGGATCACCATGTAAAACTTAGCGTCACATTAAAAAAGTGAAAATCGGGCCTCCATGGTGCTGCAAGGGGTTAAGCGTCAGCACTGTGAAGCAATCTGCAGCCACTGTAGTATGAGTTTGATCCCCAGCCAGGGAGATGAACCACATGGAGCAACAGACCTCTCCTGTCTCTCCCACTGCTCCCCTCAGCAATGTATTTCAGTCAATCCGCTTGTTCTGCTCCCTACTCTGTCTCTGGTGAATCCTCTCACTGCCCCCAACCTCAGCACCTCTGATCTGTACCCAGTTCTTGTATGCATAAATAAATAAATCTTTTTTAAAAAATCTTAAAAAAAAATGAAAATTGTTGGTCAAAATTGCATGTAATCAAATAATGATTATATGGGGGGACAGATTTTGTAAGACAGAGTGATAGGTTCAAAGAAAGGATAACCAGCTGTTTTTGGTTAGAAAGAGGGGGTTGAGAAAGTCAGGAAAGGCTTTATTGAGAAAAGGCAATATATTGTCATAATTACATTCATTGGCCAATGCTTACATAGCACTCACTGTGTGCCAACTGCCAGGCACTGTCTAAGACTTAAATGTACTAGCTCCTCCAACGCTCACAATCTAGAAGTAAATGCTAATATTCCCATTGTACCTTAGACCGAATACAAAAAGATTAAGTGACTTCCCCAGGATTACAAAATTAATAAATAATTTTAAATACTATTAAATATTAAATAAATATTATATAAATAAATGCTAAATATTAAAAAGCTCCAGGTCTCACTTTTGACTATTATATTGTCTGAGTATCACTATATATTTTCTTGGTGGAAATTTGTTTTTTAGCTTTAGGAAATTCTATTTCAGTCATTTTTATGGGTCAAATATATTTGTGTCTGATATTATTTGCAGGGGTGTGTGTGTCTGTGTTACAGTTTTGGGCTTCATAGAAGCATATAGAACTAGAAAGTAGTATCATATACTAGTTTGATTTCTAGAAACTTTATGCTCTACTATTTTCATGTGGTAAATTGTTTGTTTTTTTTTACCAAACTAATTGTGCAGTAGCACTGGAAAAGAAAATATTGACTTAATGTTCCTAAAGAACCTGAAATTGATGGTTATTAGTCTTCAGTGGACATTTAATAGCACTAATACATTGAGTGAGGCAAAGGCATCATTATGAGTCATGAGTCCAGGATTTAGGACTGAACTGTACATCCCAGATTATTAGTTTTCCCGTCAGCAAAGGGAGTGCACATCACGGATGACAAATATAAGGTGCATGTTACCACACCCTACTGCCTAACCCACAACTGACATCACTAATCATTCAGGGCATCCTTTTGTTCAGAATCTGAGAACATCTCCAGAAACCTTCCCAACACACTGCTCAGAACACAGCTAATCACCACTGGCCTCCAAGTTGAACTCTATGTCATCTTGGATATGTCAATCAGTAAAGACTATTCCAGTTCTAACTCCCAGAAATTTGAAAACTGGGGGCCTCCCTGGTGGCGCAAGGGGTTAAGTCTCAGCACTATGAAGCTATTGGCAGCCACTACAGCACGAGTTCAATCCCCAACCAGGTAGCTACCCATATGGCACAGCAGTCCTCTCCTGTCTCGCCCGCTGCTCCCTTCAACAGTGTATTTTAGGCCATCCGCCTGTTCTGCTCCCCACTGTCTCTGGTGAATCCTCTCACCCTGTCCCCCAAGCCCCACCCCGACCTCTGGCCTACACCCCAGTTCTTGTGTGCATAAATAAATAAAAACAAATCTTTTAAAAAATAAGAAAACTAAGCCCAATTCAATATGTACTTACATCTTTCCAGTCATTTTTCTCTAGGCATTAAGCTTATGTGAATCTACCAGTCCCCCTTGTCTTGGGTTTTAGGCATCCTCGCACCCTTTGTGCAGTGCCTTCCCCCAACAAAGTTTCCTTTCTGTTTTATTGATATTTCATTATATTCACACAGCTCCTGGGTGTGGAATCTCCCAATTCAGTGGCCATTGAAACATCTTCCCCAGCCTCATGTGCTACTGAATGCTAGGAGTTTATCAACAGAAGTTCATACCTGCTCACTGACCACTCCCAGGACTTGTCTAAGCATATTCCTTCTTTAGCCTACTTGAGTTTCATAGTTATTTCATCTGCCTCCTCCCTGATGTTGGTAATTGGGATGGGTGTTTAAAGCCTTTATCTTCAGTAGTCAAATGTGTACTAGTTTCTGAGTCTTTACATTGTCTGTTTTGGCTTTGTTTATTTTATAGTAGAAGTGCTTTAGAGTTTTGCTTGTCCACTTTATTACCACTGTGTAATCCTACAGTTATAAATTGTGTAACTATTTCTGTGTGTCCAAAAAAAGGGGTGTATTCAAGTCTTTAGATGCCTTCAGCTACTATTTTCAAGACTTGCATCCTAATGATTATCAATTCGACATGTCCTTGTCTGTCATCCTTGCTCTTGAAGCTGGGGGAAGGGATGCTGGGCTTGTAAGGTGGAAACCAATTTGATCCCTTGGTATAACATCTCAACAGGATCTTTTTACATCTCATTTTACCACTTAATGCAGCTAGGGCATTTAAAGGTAAATGTTTGTCTGTGAGTACCTTTAAGACAATGTTTTTTTCTTTTATCTGGCAGTTGGAATCCAGGCAATGGGGTTGTACTTTCTACTTTCATAAAGATAGTTTTAAATAATTTGGTGGTATTCATAATTTACTAGTCACCTGCTATAATGTACTGACAATAATGTACGAGAAGAATCAAAGCAGCACTTTATATAAAATGATTGAACCAACACAGAGTATGTTGCAATTCAGCCTACGGTAGTGAGTTTGTCTTCCTGGAAAAGGGAGTGAATGACCACAGGCCTCCCCCATGGCACAGCTGTCATATCCCCAGCTGAACTCATCTAGATAACATCCTGTTCTGCACACTGAATGAATGCAGCAGCCCTAGACTCTGCCAGACGGGACCTGGCTCTTTCTAGCTGTTAGTTTTTGTAATTGTTGTGAGATCACCACCTGTCTGACAGTGTTGAGGAAACGAGAGATGAGCTGGGAGGGCAAACATATAATATCACAGTTGGTCCTAATATATTACCCCATAATCTGTTGCCACTTTTCTGTGAAATTATTCCATATTCAAAAGTTCATTTAAGAGCTATTGTTAACCTTGATTCTTTGCACTGGTTCGTCCATATATTACAAAATGTGAATATATTGTCACATGAGCCAATGAAGCAGCTCTGATTCTCATATGAAAGGACTTGCCATTGGTCAATATTGTACTCTTTTGCACTGATTATTTAAAAATCAATATTAATTGTAAGTGGAACAGTCGTGAGATTCAGTACAGCTGAATTAGTATAAAATTAGGAGGATGGACCCCTGAATATTGGAGACAAGTTAGGGGATGTCATGGATTAATGCATGTGCTGGGCCTCTGAGCTGCATCTCACCCTCACACAAAGTGATCCAGGGACTTTGGGTGTCTTCACATGCCTAAATTTCAATTTGCTTATATTGAAATGTGGATAACTGAAGTACCTGCACCAAAGAAGTGTGAGGATTAAATTTATATATATATATATATATATACATAATATATAAATATATATATAAAATTCCTAGCATAAGATCTTACAGTCCTTGTTTGAAGGCCTTACTAGAGAACTTTGACAAATACTTGATATTATTACTGCTGGTTCCAACACTAAGAAAGTAAAACTTCATGTAGATCTCATCTCCATTACTCATAAAATAAAGTTCATATTCCTCAACATGCCTTCTAAAGCTAATTTCATCTTCATTGAGTTGCTCATGTCCTAACACCAACCTTCCTACCCCCACAATTGAACATGACAGTTAATTTTCCAGAGCTTTCATATCCTGTTTTCTTTGCCAAGGTTTCTCCCAGATTATTCTTCAAGATGTTCCTTAAATGCCCCTCCTCTGGGGAGCCATTACCATCTCTGCTGTAACAGTCTTTGTCCATCCCTTTTGTGCACCCATAGACATATACCTGGCCCAGTTATAATTCATAATTTTGGAGTGCTGTTGCTTACCTATCTAGCGCATTTGCTAGGTGTAAAGATCAGAAGTCATTATTTCTTAATCTGCACATTCTCCTTTTGGTGCCCAAAAAGACTGATGAATCAATTGAACAAATATGAGTGGAGGTACTGTAGATACTCAAAAATGTTTGAAAGATAACTAATAAAAATTTATGTTTAGTTATTAAAATCTCATTTAGTTCATAGGAGGAGAGACCTGGGTTATCTGAAGAGTTTGCTTCCGGTTCATCTCTAGAACACATTTAGTATGAATCTTTGAGAAATCTGATCTTGCTTTTTTTTTTTTCTTCTTTTATCCTTCAGATTCAAGTTACAGCCACCCCCCTTGCTATACCTTTTCAACTGCATTGGAAAAATACTGGTCAAGAAAAAAATGATAAAGTTTTTCCTCATGGTGAATAAACAAGGGCAGACCCGACTTTCTAAATACTATGAACATGTGGAGATTAATAAACGAACACTTCTGGAAACAGAAGTCATAAAGAGCTGTCTTTCCCGATCCAATGAACAAGTAAGTTTCTGATTCTTTTCTCTCTTTAGTCACTCAGTGGCAAATGTGTTATTATTGAGTCTCAAAGACCACAGTTTTCTTTGAACTACATTCTCTCAACTGCTATTGGAGAAAGTAGTAAGTGAAGTGGAAAGAAGACTGAAGCACGGGAGCCTCCCTGGTGGCACAACGGGTGGAGCGACAGCACTGTGAAGCTGTCCACAGCTGCTGCAGCTCCCGACCAGGGAGCTACCCACATGGCGCAGCAGACCTCTCCTGTCTCACCCAGTGCTCCCCTCAGCTGTGTATTTCAGTCAGTCATCCTGCTCTGCTCCCTACTCTGTCTGGTGAATCCTCTAACCCCCCACACCTTTAGCTTACACCCCAGCTCTTGTATGCATAAATACATAAATCTTTAAAAAAAAAATAAGGCTGAAGCATAGCTCTCTTTACCTCTCTATAAGGAAAATATAAACAAGGAAAACCTGGAAAAGTCTTGGTTTCTTATTTAGGTCAGCGTCGCTGTCTCAATGCACTGTGAAAGTGGTTGCTCACATTTATTCCAGCTGATGTATTTTCTTTTTCTGTTCTTATGACTTCAATCCTTGGAACTTTTTAGGCATGTTCATAAGCAGGTAGCTTTCTTTAAGGCAACAGATCAAGGCCAGGAGACTGGGATAGAGGTGGATACTCAAGACCCAGTTTGTGCCAGAGCATAATAATGTGATTCTGGTGTGGAACATAGTATTTTCTCCTTATTGTTTTTGTAAATTTACCACCAAAACAACACTGGAACTAATAATTTAAAAACAAAACAAACTGGATTTCAGCTTGTCTTATTTTATCATGTAGATAGGAAAAATGGAAGTTAAAAATTAATATGAAACAATAAATCTATCCATTCTGCCAAAACTTGAGGTTAAATAAAATCATTAATAATACACAGGAAGGGCCTCCCTGGTGGCGCAAGGGTTTAAGATGCAGCCTATGAAGCAATCTGCAGCCACTGCAGCACAAGTTCCATCCCCGGCCAGCCAGGGAGCTACCCACATGGCACAGCAGACCTCTCCTGACTTGACCGCTGCTCCCCTCAGTAGTGTACTGTGGTCAATCTGCCTGTTCTGTTCCCCACTCTGTCTCTGGTGAATCCTCTCATTCCCCACACCTCTGGCCAGTGCCCCAGCTCTTATATGCATAAATAAATAAATCTTAAAAAAAAGCATCTTTAAAAAAAAATAAATAAGGGCCTCCCCAGTGGCGCAGCAGTTGAGTGCTGGGTTGGGAAGCTGCCCGCAGCCTCTGCAGTGCCAGTTTGATCCCCAGCCACTGGGTGAGGGTCTCGCATGGCGCGCAGACCTCTCCTGCCACCCGCTTCTCCCCTCAGCAGTGTACTTTGTCTGTCTGCCTGCTCTGCTCTCCTCTCTGACTCTGGTGAATTCTCTCACCCTCCCATGCTTCTGACTGTACTCAGTGCTTGTATAAATAAATAAATAAATCTTAAAAATAAATAAATGAACAATACACAGGAATTTTAAAACTGAGGTTTTTTTGCAAAGACTTTTCATCAGAGAATTACTTAATTCAACTCATAAAACGCAGATCGTTTGGAAATGACTGAACAAATTGAGGCAAAATCAGAAAATCTGTTTAGATCACTTAATTTTGCCAATTTCCATTTCAATGTATGTGTAGAAGGACTGTGGGAACTGCTGCTAAATCATAAAATATAAAGCTACATCAGTGCTCAGAAGTTATGAGTTGGAATTGTTTCTCTTGGCTTCTAACTTGATTTTCCAGTTGGAACCTCTCAGAGTCATCTTTGAATCACTGCTTTGGCCTGCCATGGCACATACTGCTTCATGTAGTTGTCAAAAGGAAACAGAAACTATTAAAGGTCTATGGTAATAGCCATGTACTTAAGTCACGATAAACATACTCTAGAAGCATTCCTATTTGAGTCTCTTGGCAGAATGCAGGCACTCCACAGTTTCAAACACCTTAATCACTGATAAGTTACCCTTTGAAATATGTTTTTTAATGACTAAACTGAATGATATTTTTAAAGCATTCTAAATTACTTTAGATTTTCAAAGGAATCCACTGGGTTTTTGGCATAATCAGGCCCCAAAGTAACAGTCTCACCTTCGTTTTTATTTTATCCACAAAGATACTTTGAAATTTTTAGGCCTCCCCGGTGGCGCAGCAGTTGAGCGCTGGGTTGCAAAGCTGCCCGCGGCCTCTGCGGCGCCGGGCTCCGGTTCGATCCCTGGCTGCTCCCCGGCCACCGGAGGAGGGTCCCACATGGCGCGCGGACCTCTCCTGCCGCCCGCTGCTCCCCTCAGCGGTGTACTTCGGTCCTTCTGCCTGTTCTGCTCCCCTCTCTGGCTCTGGCTCTGGTGAATTCTCTCACCCTCCCGCGCTTCTGACTGTACCCAGTGCATGTATAAACAAAACAAACAAATAAATAAAATAAATAAACATGCCTCTATAAAAAAAAAACAAAAACAAAAAAAAAAAGATACTTTGAAATTTTTTTTATGTCAGAAATTCCTGAGAGGCTTTGAAAAATGTTCCTCAGTTCTTTCAAATAGGTTGCCTTTCCTTGAAAGATCTAACGGAGCAGATATCACAGTGGCTCTGTGAGCCAAAAGCTACAGAATGGTCCTGATTTAAAATAAAAGTCTCACATCCCTGCATTTTTTCATACTGTCAAATGACATTCCCATGGAAGAATTTGCATAATCAAAACTTGACATTCATTTCTAGGTACATTCAGGTACCTGAGATTAAGATAGCCCAGCATAAAAAACCACGGAGCTCAAGCTCCATCATATTTGGTAAGTCACACTAAAAGTCTAAAAGAAGGGACAGCACTGCCTTCAGCCTGCTGTCCAATCCCTGCCCCTCATACCTTCTCATGACCATCTGTATGATGGCTTTAGGAGAGAGGTGAATGGGAAGGGAGCTGTTTTATCCACAAGTCAATGATGGTCAGCTAGTTGTTAATTTATATTAAGCAATGCTTACAATGAGAGATTTTACCTAGTATCTGCCTAACAAAAGCCATCTTTAAATGATTTATATGATGACTTGTCCACAAAATCTTTTTAATGGGCCTAGAAAAAAATTAAGATTTTAATGTTGGCATGTATATATACTATTTGGCTCCTCAGTGACTATTAAAGAGTATAAAACTGAGACTCTAATTGCTTCCAAAAGAGCCTAGAGGAGGTGAAAAAGAAAACCTTGATATGTTTGCTTATTTGCATGTTAAAGGCAGTATAAAATGCTGACTATCCAGTAGCTCTGCCTGCTGATTTCCATGTGGAATCAAGTTAAGAATGAGGAATAGGGTCCTCCCCTGTGGCACAGTGGTTGGGCGCTGGGTTGCAAAGCTGCCCGCAGCCTCTGCAGCGCCGGTTTGCTCCCCGGCTGCCAGCGAGGGTCCCACATGGGGCGCAGACCTTTCCTGCTGCGCCCACTGCTCCCCTCAGCAGGGTATTTCATCAGTCTGCCTGTTCTGTTCCCCGCTCTGGCTCTGGTGAATCCTCTCACCCTCCTGTACTTCTGACTGTACCCAGTGCTTATATAAATAAATAAATAAATAAATAAATAAATAAATAAATAAATAAATAAATAAATAAATCTTAAAAAAAAAAGAATGAGGAATAGAAGTGGAAACCTATGTGAACACTCAGACCCTTCCCCCAAAACACCTTCTCCACCTACCACTAGAGATGCTTCCAAGTTGTCCCTTGAATATTATGAGGACAGGCCAATAAGTATTTGCAACATTTTAATGTATATTTCAAGGAATGTGTTAACAGAATGTCACCTCAGAACCCAGAAATGATGCATATCATTTTGAAGAAATTTCTGTCAACTGTAGGAATTAATGTCTAATTGTGTTTTGTTTAGTGCTCCTTCATTGAATATAAGGATTTTAAGCTGATTTATCGACAGTATGCAGCTCTCTTCATTGTGGTTGGAGTTAATGACACTGAGGTAAGATAATAGAGGAGTCTGAAAACTGCAAGAAAATTAGGAATAATAGTCTGAATTTTATTTCTCCTTAATTTGCCATTTTCTTCCCTGTTTGCCTCACTAAAAATAATGTTGAAACTTTTAAAGAATATTGATTTCTATCAAAACTGGGGAAATTGTGTAGAAGAGAAATCGCTAGGATGTTTCTTGGATTCGATGAGTGGTTTGTGGAGAAACACAAAACCACAGATTACCTTTCTCGACCCTTAGCAATACCAGGGTCATGCCCTTGTTCCTGGCCACAGTGGGGCAGTTTGGAGAAGTGTAGTTGTGCGATTAAACATAGGCTGACATATCAGAAGCCACATGAAACCACACATATGATTGTGCTATGACTACATCTCCTCAGATTTAGTTCACCTTTTCAGAAATGTCAGTGTCAGATCAACGGTACTTACTGTCATGGAATATCTAAAAGGGTGTTTAAGATCTAAAATACCTTGAAATCTCAGCTGATTTTTTTTTTTTAATCCATGACCAGACTTTAAGGCAGTTTTCCCATATTCACAAGTAGAAAAATGATGACCTGAAGAACTTAAAAAATTGTTAGCCAAGTGGTGATAAAATTAGGGAGTAGAGCTCAGAACCTTAAACACTAGACTCAATCTAATTTCATCTAGCTGGATTCATCGTGGACTTTTAAAAAATCTTAGAAGTTACGGTTTTCTACAGTTTCCCTACCAATAAGCTTCCTTTAAGCAACCAAGAATAGAATTATTCTATTTGTCAATAGGAAGCTGCTTTGCTCACGTTATCTGTTCACTAAGCCACGTGTTCGAAACCCTGTTTCCTGCCTGGGCAGCTCCAAGTCTGATTTATATCTACATAAAGCATATTAAAACAAATTGTACCCTTCTTTTTTATTTCAGAATGAGATGGCAATTTATGAATTCATCCATAACTTTGTAGAAGTTTTAGATGACTACTTCAGCCGAGTGGTAAGTCTAATGACTAAAAGATATGTTTTTGTCCACAACCAATTTCCCAGATATGGTTCTATATTAAGAAAATGTGTTAATGGGCTTACCCGGTGGCACAGCGGGTTGAGCGGCAGCGCTGTGAAGCTTTCCACAGCCTCTGCGGCACGGGTTGGATCCTGGCTGGCCAGGGAGATGCTCACATGGCGTGCAGACCTCTTCTGTCTTGCCCACTGCTCCCCTCAGCAGTGTATTTCAGTCAGTCTGCCTGTTCTACTCCCTACTCTGCCTCTGGTGAATCCTCTCACCCTCCCGCACATCTGGCCTGTACCCTGGTTCTTGTATGCAAGAATAAATAAATCTTAAAAAAAATAAATTTAAATAGCTACATGCAGCTGGGGTTATATTGGAAAATATAGCTCTAGCACTCTTAAGGTAAACTGATTGCACTAGATGATTCAGAGCTGGTCATGATTAGCCATTTTAAGTCAACACCTTAAAGAAGAATTTCCCAAAATAGGAGTGTTTTAAATCTGGGAGAATAAAAAGTCGGTATACGCACCATTTTGCTAAGGTTTTTTAAATTATTATTATTATAGTTGGTAACTGAGAATAAATAGCAAGTTGCTAAATTCTAGCTGTAATTCTAGGGGGAGAGTCAGTGACCACATAAACCACAAAAGTAAAGATTAGAATTTAATTTAAACCAGGTGATTATACAGGACTTGGACAGCACTAAGGAATGACTGGGTTTGGGATGACAATAGGAAAAAAAAGAGTACTATGGGAAAGAAAATAGAATCTGTCCCCTGCATGGAGAATGCCTTGCTAGCTAGGATTTATTTTTAGGTTTGTGAGTTTGAAACATTCTTTCTGGGGCTATTTTTAATCATAGAATTTTCAAATCTTAAATTTGGAGATGAGCTTCATGCTGTTTGGGCTGAAAGAAGCATCTTACCAACGCATTTCCAAACAAGAAGTCAACCCAATTAGCTTCAAAGGAGGCAGTTTTGCAAGAATGACAGCTGTTGCTGTTGAGGAAGTGGATCCAGGTTTTAAGCCTGTGTCTAATAGACCTTAAGTCCTTTCCAATGTGGATTTAACTCTTTACTGTTATCCTCCTCTGTGACATTTTTGTGACATAAATATCTGCTTATTGGGAAAAATTAAAAAGATTTATGGGCAAAAACAAAGTGGGAGAAGACCATCACTAAGCCCATCATTTATTGATGTATAATGTTAGCTACCTTTCCTTTTAGACCTTATATATGTTCTTATCTAACTTTCTCTCCATATATGTGTGTGTGTATATATATTCCGTATATATGGAATAATACCATATATGCCATTATATGACTTGCTTTTATATTTAACTATATGTTGGTACTTAAGTGTATTTACGTGATCATTTGTGGATATACTGTAATTATTTAACTCACCCCTCCCTGAGAGACACTTATATATAATTACATATCATTGTGTATTATTGTGTATTTTCTTAGCATACACTTCTAAAAATAATTGATGGATTCAAAGAGTGTGCACATTAAGGTTTTTGGTGCACATGTCAAATTACCTATCACCTGTGAAGGTTGAGTTAGTTTATTACCTCAATATCCTTTTCTTAAATTGAGGTACAATTGACATATATTAGTTCTAGTTGTGCAACATAATTATTTATTTGTTTATTTTATGACCATAGTTAAAAAATAGGTAAATAAAATTTTTGTTTAAATTTATTTATTTTTTATTTTTTTTTATTGTTATATTCCCCATATAATTGCAGCCCCCCCATTCTGACCCCAATCCCTCCCCTCCCGCCCCCCTAAAAGTGTCTCTGGTTCATAGTTTTTTGTTGATTTTGATTTTCACTTTCTTATAGTTATTCATTTTCCTGGTCCCTTATTTAAGTTTTCTAGATTCCTGCTATGAGTGAGACCATCCGGTATTTTTCTTTTTCTTTTTGGCTTATTTCGCTGAGCATGATCCCTTCCAGCGCCATCCATGTTGCTGCAAATTGCATGTGTTTATCTTTTTTGAATGCTGAGTAATATTCCATGGTATATATGTGCCACATCTTCTTGATCCAGTCATCTATTTTTGGGCATTTGGGTTGTTTCCAAAGCTTAGCTATTGTAAACAGTGCTGCTATAAACATAGGGGTGCAGGTGTTCTTTGGAATTGAAGTTTCTGTGTCCTTTGGGTAAATACCTAGGAGTGGAATTGCTGGATCATATGGAAGCTCTGTGTTTAGTAGGTCCAGAAATCTCCACACAGCTTTCCACAGTGGTTGGACCAGTTTGCACTCCCACCAACAGTGCAGAAGAGTTCCTTTTTCTCCACACCCTCGCCAACATTTGTTGTTGCTAGTTTTTTTAATATGTGCCATTCTCACTGGTGTAAGATGGTATCTCATGGTAGTTTTGATTTGCATTTCCCTGATGACAAGTGATGTTGAACATTTTTTCATATGCCTGTTGGCCATTTGCATTTCCTCTTCAGAGAAGTTTCTTTTTAGCTCTTCTGCCCATTTTTGGAATGGATTATTTTCTTTGTTGTTGTTGAGTCTCATCAGCTCTTTGCAGATTTTTGTGATCAGTCCTTTATCATTAGTGTTGGGTGCAAAAATGTTCTCCCAGTTGGTGGGGTTTCTCTTTGTTTTTGTTATTGTCTCTTTTGCTGTGCAGAAGCTCTTTAATTTGATGTAGTCCCAGCTGTTTATCTTTGCCTTCACTATCACTGCTTTGGGTGATGTGTCTGTAAAGATGTCTTTGATGTGTAAATCACGTAGTGTTTCGCCTATATTTCCTTCTATATATTTTATGGTTTCAGGTCTTATGTCTAGTTCTTTAATCCATTTTGAGTTGATTTTTGTGTATGGTGTGAGGTAGTGGTCAAGCTTCATTCTTTTGCATGTAGTGACCCAGTTTTCCCAGCACCATTTATTGAACAAACTTTCTTTGCTCCAATGCATAGTCTTTGCTCCTTTGTCAAAGATTAGTTGACCATAAATCTGTGGGTTTATTTCTGGATTTTCTATTCGATTCCATTGGTCTGTATGTCTGTTCTTGTGCCAATACCATGCAGTTTTGATGATTATGGCTTTGTAGTAGAGTTTGAAATCTGGGAGTGTGATGCCTCCATTCCCTTCTTTCTTTTTCAGGAGAGCTTTGGCTATTCGGGGTTTTTTGTGATTCCATATGAATTTCATCAATAATTGTTCTATTTCTTTGAAGAATGACATTGAAATTTTGATTGGAATAGCATTGAATCTGTATATTGCTTTTGGAAGGATGGCCATTTTAATAATGTTTATTCTTCCAATCCATGAGCAGGGGATGCCTTTCCATTTCTTTGTGTCTTCTTCTATTTCTTTTAACAGTGTTTTATAGTTTTCTTTGTATAGGTCCTTTACCTCTTTTGTTAGATTTATTCCCAAATATTTGATTTTTTTTGTTTCAATAAAAAAAGGGATGGTTTTTTTGATTTCTTCTTCTTCAGATTTATTGTTTGTGTATAGGAAGGCTACTGACTTTTGCGTGTTGATTTTGTATCCTGCCACTTTACTGAACTGATTGATGAGTTGAATTAGTTTTTCTGTGGACTTTTTGGGGTTAAAATTTTTTTTCTCATGATGAGAACTTTTAAGGTCTGCTCTCAGCGAATTTCAAATAATATAGTATAGTATTATTAACTATAGTGACCATATTGTACATTATTTCCCCATGACTTATTCTATAATCTAAAGATGAATAGTTCTGGTCTGTAAAATTCCTCTAAACTGTAGTCTTTCTTAGTTTGTTAAATCACAATTCCCAAGGTAGGGCTCTTCTCCTCTCAGGTGTCTGCATACTGAGGCCCTCTGCCACCTGCTTCCAGGCTTGCCGCCAGAGCAGATGCAAACCCTGCTGAGGGCATCGTGTTCTGGTGTCTCTTTCTCATCCTTGCACTTTTTCTTCTCTTTTCCAGAGTGAATTAGATGTATCCTTTTTCAATAGTGTGAGCCAAGTTTTCCACAGTCCTTGGCAAAGGACAGGCTAGTCTTGATCAGGTAAGTGTCAAAGGGCAAGAAGATGATTCAGCAGAATCCAGAATGCTACTTCTCAACACCCATGACAAGGGAGCCAGAGGTGCAGGTGCTTTGCCAAACTCCTTCCCTACTCTTTTTTCACAAAGACCATTCTTACTACATTTCTTTTATTTTTCAGACAGGGAAGTAGTTAATGTTAACTATTAACCACTATATATTAATTTAACTTCTTTTAAGCATGTAAGTTTTTCAGGATTTAAATAACACAGCCGGAAAGTACTTGGTCCTCCCAGAGAGGCTAGCTTTCCATGTCTCCAGGTTATAAAACCTTCTTCTCCCTTTTAAATCAAAATATTCAAAGGCCCCAACAAGCATGATTTGCTTAGAATACTTCAGGCCTGTGGATTTTGGCAGGAGCCCACTGGGCTTTGTGTGAGTACTCTAGAGGCAGGTTGACTTTTAAGTTAATGTTTTACTTCAAAAATCTGCTTACCATTTCAAAGCAATAAATAAAAAGTGTCCTTTGAGAACACATCAAGCTTGAATCTAAAATAGTAATGTTGATTATAACACGTGTATATATATATATATATATATAATATGTTCATGTATGTGTGCGTGTGTGTGTGTGTGTGTGTAAATAAAAGACACCTTGTCCAAAATGGACAACTACTATTGATAGAAAAGTCAGCGATGTTGATAAATATCATTTGTAGTCTGTATTTAGATGCCTCTTTAACTGGGGAAATCTGAGTGCCCTCTTGTGATGATGAATAACCTAAATGTATGATCCCTTTGACCTAGGCTAGATATTAGACTAGATCTAAGACCAGACTGAATATTAGGGTATATTTTCACTCAGCATGTAACATTCCATTTTAACCAAGCCCTATAAAGCAATTCAAAATAAATCTCTTCCACAGTGCTTTTCATTTAAAAAGTTACTAGGGAGATAGCAAAGCTAATAGACACTCTACTTGAGTATAGAAAGCCAAGTTCAGCTTTCGGTCCTGCTACCAACTGGTTGTATATATTGGGCAAGACACACAATACCCTCACCTCAAAATGACAGAATTAGATTAGAAGCATTCTGGCACCTTCTCAGTCTTAATATTTGGTGTTGCCATGACTCTAAGTAATTCCCAGCACAGGAAGTGTGTACTATTCAGAGAATTAAAATGAATCAGATATAACAGGTATGAGAGTTGGACTAGTCATTTTGATGTGTCTTAACTAGAAGTTTATTAGAAATAGAAACCAGTTTATTTTTGTTCCCTCTGGGGTATAGCATAGGTTCATGTAATGAATTCCAGCATTCTTGTTTGAATTTAATTTTCACACGAAGGCACTTTATTTCTGTCTTTCTCCATATTTTATCAACACCAATGGTGAATTTTTTTTGCTTCCCTTCTTCTCTGGCCAAGTTCTGCATTTACTGTCCTTTGGAATTATTCGACTATCCATCTGACAGATTAGGAATTTTGCATCATTAGAGAAGGGAATGAAATATCTCCAGACTTGGAAATACATATTTTCGCTTTGGGTATAATTTCGTGTGGACCTCCACTGGAGCAAGTAGCATGGCATGGGGCACCTCTCTTTTACTAACATTCTTAAAGGGTTTTCCACCCTTAGCCATCTGGGGAAAAATCAAATTAAAAACCCTAACTCCACTTTGTCTCATAATAGTTCTTTTTAACTATTAGTGTCTAGTATCTCTATAGACTAGTTACATAATAGTAACGCAGGGGGGCCTTTCACAGGTGCAGCCTCATTTTCCTGCTTCCTCTAAATTACCACTTTGATAACATGAAACCAGGAACCTGCTGGAGTAGTTACCATTATTCTGGACTGCTCTGCCAGGATAGCTTCCTTAGGCCTTGAAAAGTTAAGAAGGGGAAGATGATAGAGAATTGCAACCTAGATCTGGTTCTCCAAACACTCAGAGCACATCATCACATCGTCATCTCAGTTTGCTCAGGCTTAAGAAAGCCTTCCTTGTCAGCCAGCCCACATGGAATATACAATTTAAGGCTCAGTTTGAAGTAGTAACAGGAGAACAAAGTCGAATTTTAATGGAAGTCCCACAAAAGCCCTTCACTTGGAGTTTTTCTGTTTTGTTTTGTTTTCCCCTAGAAGCTTTTAAGAATGGGGCAGGTCCGGTGGCGCAGTGGTTAAGTGCTGGGTTGCAAAGCTGCCCGCAGCCTCTGCAGAGCCGGTTGGATCCCCGGCTGCTCCCCGGCCACCGGAGGAGGCTCCCACATGGCGCGCAGACCTATCCTGCCGCCCGCTGCTCCCCTCAGCAGTGTACTTCGGTCCTTCTGCCTGCTCTGCTCCCCACTCTGGCTCTGGTGAATTCTCTCACCCTCCCGCGCTTCTGACTGTACCCAGTGCTTGTATAAATAAATAAATAAATCTAAAAAAAAAAAAAAAGAATGGGGCAGGTTTCCAGAACCTGCAATGATTAGACTTTGAGAAATAAAATGCACCATTTCTATTTCTCCCTAGTATAGGCTTGTTCTACTTCTACTAAGATCACAAAGCAAGACAGACGGGATTTAAAAAAGAAATCATTTAAGCACAAGAAATCAGGACAGAAATTTTGGCTTGTTGAAAACACTTCTAAGTGGAAACTGTGGTGCAGTGGTGTCAAGCAGACTGTACCCTTGGGACCAGGCACATCATTGACCTAAATCATTCATGTGCCTTGAATAAGCTCCTATACACTCTTAACATTTCATATAGTTTCTATAAGGAAGTTTGCCCTATCACAAACCTTGGTAGACTTAAGAATTCAATTCCATGAATTAAACAGCTTTTAGGAACCAGTCAATGAGCTTCCCAAAATGTCCTCAGCTTGGGAGTTCCAGGTTTGCTGAATTCTCCAGACAATTCATAATTCAAAGGAACTGTCTCCATCCCCTTCTGCTAACTAGTTGAAAAGTGGTACCATTGAACACTCTGTGTGGAGAATGTCTAATTCCTTCTCATCCCAGTGCACACCTACTGTATGTATTAAGGTACAGAAAATCTTAACAGCCTTTTGGTATTTGTGCCTTTAAATAATTTTAAATACTTGGTTAATTTTGACTAGACTGGAATATAGTGGTGCTATCTTTAGATCTGGACAACCAGAGCCCCATTCCTGGGCTGTATGATTTAGAAGGGCCCTACTCTAACTCTCCTTCAGCAGCATCTTTCTCCACGGGGTGAGGATGCTTACCCAGCACTTACAGGGACCCCTCACCCACTTCATCACCCTCTGGGCCCCCAGGATTTACTGATACCCAGACATCCCATATCCTACTACTAGGACCTATACAGGCCTCTACCTCACCAGCACTGGGGGAAGAAATGAGAGACTAGAGTGCTGATGGGATATGTCAAATGTATACATGAGTAGTGGGGAGCAGGCCAGGTTCCCTGTTTATATTCTTATGCTCCCAAACCTACAAAATAAGCATATTCTTATGCTCCCAAACCTACAAAAAATATAATCCAGAATGTTTTCTTGACTCAAAAATATCGTTAAAATCAAACATCTTTAGAACACTTTTTTTGAGTTCAAAACTCAAAAGCCTGAGCGATTAATTCTAGAACCTTTTTTTAAAAAAAATATTTAAAAGAGCAGGATTATTAGAGAAGGGGACAGAAGAGTAAAGGACACTTGCATAGACACAAGCGGACAGAAAGAGCTGCCCTGAAAGGCACAGGTTTGCTGAGAGGGCCGCATGGTTGCAGATGGGAGGCCTTAAGGAGAGCTGCCTCTGCTGAGGGAGGTCAGTAAAGAGAAGCCCCAGCATGATACAGGTCATGGGCAGGCAGGAAGGCTGCTGCCCTGTGGAGGGAGAAATTTGGTAAAAAGAAGTACCTGCATAATCACAGGTGGACAGAAGGACTGCTTGATTCTAGAAACTTAAAGCTCATGTGGGTGATGTAAAAGCATCCTGATTCATGCCCTCTATTGCAATTGAGTGTAAGAGATCAAGGAGCCTCTACAGTGCTTCCTAGAGGAATGAAGGCACCAGTTAATAGTAATCAGCACCACCAAAAGTTGCAGTCAGGACCTGATCAGCACCTATGGTGCTGGGTGCTCATGGTGGGGCATCTATAGTTCCTTCCTTATCTTCCTGATATCTCAAACTCTTCTAGAGGATCAGAAACCAGAACACAGCTTCTCTAAGTAGGAGATAATTTCAGCCTGACTTAATGAGCAATCACAAAACTACTTGTTCAATTAGGGACTATGGAAATACTGGCAAGGTGAACAAAGAAATTCTCCAGGGAAATCATCCAACACTGAGGTGGCAGCTTCTAAATGAACTAAAATTTACTCACTGTTCTCAGAAAGGTACAATCATGAAGTCATTACAGAAGGATTTCTTTTGAGGTATGATGGAGCATGACTACATCGGGTACCACTGATAATATCATCAAAGAGTATTTTGGAGCTGGAAGAAACTTATACAATCATCAGGGTAAAATTTCACTTTTTCCAGGCTGTAACATGTCCCAATCCATAGAGCTACTTTGGGGCAGAGCTGATCCAATCCCTGGGTTACCAGGACTCTTGACTCTAAGGCTATAAATTAGATATAATGCCACATTTGACACTAAAAAAATTCATATCATCTGGAGTATATTGTAGCGATTTAGCCCCTTACAAAACTTTTAGAAAGTACCTGTAACTGTGGTGTCTTCGTGTCAGTATTTTCTTGAATTAGGGAACAAGTTTTAGAAAAACACCAGTTTTGGTTGAAGTGATCAGAAATGAAAACTCTTGACAATATCTGCATATCTTTTGAAGACCGTATGCTCCAAAAGTAGAGTTCACATTCAAAGATTTCTAAGTACCTTTTTTTTCCTTTTGAAAATATATAAATTGAAAGCAGAGTAGCAATGGGTGAGAGCTGGCAGGTGGGCTGGAGGTAATGTGTTGCAGCTAGGTAGGTATTTGGGGAGTGCAGGCACTGGGAGACAAGGGGGCCAGGAGCCTCTCCAGTATGAGAGTTCCAGCCAGTGCTGTTATGAATATGAGTCTCGGAATTATCAGCAGTCCCCCAAGAAGTCAGCTGTTCACTGGCAAGAGGGTATAAATGTTCCAGATTAAACAGTTCTGCTTTCCAGGTTTTTGTGGCTACCTCTGGCCTTAACCATCTAAGTGTGTTCTCAGAGTCCCTTCCTTAGGTACCATATCCATCCACTGCTGTCTCTCCCCACCGTTCCCCACTCCTTTTGTTCCATGCTTTTGGGTTCTGTTTTACTCGGGAATAATAACAGCAAGTTATATGAAGCAAGCCAGCGGGGGGTGGGGGGAGGAAGAAAGACTCATTTACCCTAGCCCTCCCTGAGTGTCATTTATTTTACATAAACTTATATGAACTTCAAAGAGAATTACACCTGGGGCTTCCCTGGTGGTGGTTGAGCGCAGCGCTGTGGAGCTATCTTCAGCCTCTGCAGCGTGGGTTCCATCCTGGCTGACCAGGGAGATACCCACATAGCACAGCAGACCTCTCCTGTCTCACCTGCTGGTACAGGTATAGGGCAGGCAGGAAGGCTGCTGCCCTGTGGAGGGAGAAATTTGGTAAAAAGAAGTACCTGCATTATCAGTGTGTCTCAGTCAGTCTACCTGTTCTGTTCCCTGCTCTGTCTCTAGTGAATCCTCTCACCCTCCTGCACATCTGGCCTATACCCCGGTTCTTGTAAAAACAAAACAAAACAAAACAAAAAACTCTTCAAACAAAATTACACCTAGATGTTGCTCTCAGAATATGAATAGGTGTTTAAGGAAAACGTATTAAAAAAAAAAAAAAACACTTAGGTACACTCTTTTTCAATTAATTGAAAAGGTAAATTAAGAAGAGCCTAAAAGTGAACAAGACTATCTGAAAAGGAGGCTATTCAGGACCATGCAGACTCTTCCTGATAGCCTTCTATACAATAGTATTCAATTTTCTGTGGCAGCTTATCTAATTTCATGGGAAATGGAATTTAAGTAAGTTAAGAGAGCATGTTCTTTTCCTACCCTACTTAATGTAGTAAAGAACTGAGCTTAGCTAGGAAAAAAAGGGGATTTGTGACCAAAATCGAGTTAGAAATTTTTAGATTCTAGGCTAGACTCCTGCAGTTTCTTTTTGGGTCCCATTTGAATGGCTGCTGTTCAATTTTCTCTTACTAAAAAGTAACTAGTTCACCATAGTGGTGTTAAAATATTTGTAAAGTGTTTTATGATGCAGAAGTCAAAAATTCCAATTTAGAATCTATAAACATCTCAATCACTTTAAAAAATTGATTTCAAGTGGCACTACTGTAACTCGGTCCTGTGATACACTCCAATCTACATTACATAGAAACACAGAAAGGCCTCTTGGGTTTCAGTGTGGGAGAAAGCAGAGCTTTAGTGAAGCTGTTCTTTGGGAAGCTATTTCTATTGGCGCTAATATGAGCTCCAGTCTTAGAATGCATATGAAGTTAAAACAAGTTGTCTTTTTTTTTTTTTTTAAATTTATTTATTTATTTATTTATTTTATACAAGCACTGGGTACAGTCAGAAGCGCGGGAAGGTGAGAGAATTCACCAGAGCCAGAGCGGGGAACAGAACAGGCAGTCTGATGAAGAAATACACTGCTGAGGGGAGCAGCGGGCGTGGCAGGAGAGGTCTGCGCGCCATGTGGGACCCTCGCCAGCGGCTGGGATCGAACCGGCGCTGCACAGGCTGCGGGCAGCTTCGCAGCCCAGCACTCAACCACTGCGCCACCAGGGGAGGCCCCTAAAACAAGTTGTCTTAAGAATCTGTCAGTCAAATTTAATATAACCTGAAGGTGGGAGCCTTTTGAAAGAGTCATCTCAGCTCACATAAGTAAGCCAGTGGCTTTGGTCTTTCTCACTTCTTCATTTAGATGTCAGGGTTGAAGTGTTTGTCTATGTTTATTGCCATGGGGCTTGGCATATAGGGTATTTCTTGGCCCCTGTTCTCTTGGCCTATAGCCTAAATGCCATTACTATTAGCCTCACCAGTGTGTACAACTTACTCACAAACCAAATCAAGATGTGAACAACTGGATTCTTATTTTGAAGGAGTCACATGATTCCAGAGGGAAATCAGCTTTCAGGCATTTGCCTCACATTAGATTTGGTCTGTGGTTTCCCTATATAGTGCCAGAGCGCTGTGTGATTATTAGGATTTTGAGCCAGATATCCAGATAGACAAGCAGTCACATGCCCACGGTACAGAATGACCTCACTAACTCATGTTTCCAGGATGTTGGGAAATTCAGACTTGCTGAAGGACCTTGTCCTTCAGGATATCCATGGTTGTTATGATTCAGCAGTATATTCTAATTTGAATTTCAGAACAATTGACCAGTTGCTCAAGTGGACATCTGAGTTGCAGATCACCAACTTGCCAGAGCTGGAGCAAGTCATCAGAATAGCTTGATCCCTGAGCCAATTAAAATAGAATATATTAAAATTAGATTTCCTTCTGTCTGAAAGAAAATCTTCCTGGATAATATTTTTGAAGACATTGAAGTTTTCATTGCCCTTCATGGGATTCTGCAGGCTATTTTTCATGCAGCCATTAGTGCTCCACAACTCTGCCTTTCCTTGTACCTGGCTATCATTCTCACTGTCTTGGCTTCTAAAGTTCTGGCTTCTGTGAACAGGAATGAGTCAAGGGCTTACTATTCCAGACCCAATTTGACCATAGACAAAGCAATCATCTATATAATTGGAATATATTTATTAATAGGCATCTGAGAATAAAGCTTTTTTTTTTTCTGGGTCACTTAAGGACAGTTCCCATGGGCTCCTGAAAAAAAGTTTATTCTGCTTGAGGACTATTTGCACAGAGCTTAATGAGATATTAACACAGAAACTAATAGAAACTTAAAAGTCATTCACCACAGTTGCCTCATTCTCTGTAGATGTACCTCACTAAACAAATACAATATAGACTTGAACATCTGGAATAAAAGTCTAGTAACAATTCACTTTATAAATATTAGCTTATTATGAACTCACATAGTGCATTTAGTCACTTGTTTGAATGAAGTTTGTCTATTTGAAACAATCTGTCATTTGTTTTTTTATTTAAAAAAATTCCAAGATCATGTTCTTTAAATCAAGATGGAAAACTTAAGCTATTAAAGTGTAGAAATAATCACTGTCAACATCACATTCCAGTTCTTTTCTATTCACAAAAATGAGCTACTCAAATGAAGGGATCCTGAGGGAAGAATTTGGCTTTGATTTACACTAGACATTGTAGTCTAACAGTATTTTCTTCTTGCCCCATGCCCTGTACTAACTTTCCAATAAGAACATCAGTCAGTTAAATTGGTTTCATAATTCTCAAATGATTATTTTTAGAACTGTCTATTTAGAAAAGGTATTCTTATGAAACTCAGAATTTTTATCTAATTGGGCACTGAATCAGCATGCCTTGCCATCTTCATTTCTCCTTAGTTTTTGTTTGCATGTTGATAGAGAAGATAATTTACAATGTACGGTTGCAAAGGTGTTTTGTTTTTAGGTAGAGGTTTGGGGGCTTAGGGTGGATGTATGCTCAGTAGCCTCAGTCTCCTGTCTAGTCTGGAAGCAAAGCAGTCAAGCCCACGCTTTGGACTTTAATTCCAACTCTGACAATGACCTTGTACAAAGGTTTTAAGCCTGTTTGCTTATGTGTAATATTAGGCCAATGTAGCATGTACATCCTAAGAGTTGTAGGGAAGACTGAAATAATCTATGTAAAGCGCTGAACACAATGTCTGCAACATAATGAGTATTCAATAAATCACTACTATTACTATTGTTAATGTTATCTGGGAAGATAATGTTGTTGAGATCATGTCATGATCCTGCCAGCTGTCATTTGCTTTGTTCTCCAGCTCTTAGTAGATTCCCTCTCCCTCTGGTACAGCCATTCCATTTCTATGCCTGTTACCCAGTTAGCTTAACCAACACAAAACTAAGGGTGTATATGAATATGAAGGTAATAAATTTCTAACATGGATATCAATTTTAAATTTAATTTCATTAATAATCCAAAGACCAAAACAGAGAAAACCTCATGCTTAGACTAATTTACGCTGGGAAAGTTACAGGCTAAGTCATAAATTATTGCTTAATGAATGTTATCATTTTTATAACTCAAACTACTTTTCTTAACGTGATCCTAGATAATGTTTAATCTAGATAAAGTACACATCATTTTGGATGAGATGGTCTTAAATGGATGCATTGTGGAAACAAATCGAGCAAGAATTCTTGCTCCTCTGTTGATTCTTGATAAGATGTCAGAAAGCTGAGTAATAATAGAAGGTCCTGCCAGACAACATCGACTTACAGGAAATGCGAAAACCAATGGAATACCTCTCAACATCTGTAGCCCCAAAGAATCTGGAAGATCACGCATTGCAAAGTAAGGTGTCCTTCCAAAGACTTAAAATTAAAATAGGTGTTTTACATAGTTCCTAAATAAAAAACAAAACTGCATTTTAAAATACAATGCATGAAGAAACCTTTTCTCTAAGCTGAGAGACAAGTTTTATTTTCTAACCATAATAAGCATTTTTTCTTCCCCCTCTTGATTAAACTTTGTTGCATTCTGAGGGAACCTTTTTTGTCTCTGTTTTCCTTTGCAAACTTAAATTCAAAAATAGTAGCATGGGGTGGAAAGATAATTGTGGGAGCTCTATCGTCAACAAAATGTTAAAGTTGACTTAAACACATATAGTACTTTGAATAGTTTTCTGAATGCTATTTTCTTCCCTCGTAAGTTTTAAAAGTCAGAACTTTTCTGTGTACCTGACGAAAACCGCAGAATCAAAATTTATTTGCCAATATCTAAAGCCTGATATTCATTGGGTACTAAGCAATTACAGTGCTGTCACATAATTTATACTTTCTATCAACTAATGAATATTAAAAAAACAACCCTTTTAACTAGCCTTTATACCCTATTTTAAAGGGATTGTCTTATTAGACCCCTTCTCCTACAACATCTTGAATCAAAGAAAACTGCAAGTCACTGTAAAAGGGCAATGCCCTGAGCCCCTAAACCTTTCTATATGCTTTTGCTTCCCAGTCAACAGTACACTATACAGAAATTGTCCTAGGCAATGGAGGAAGTAGGCATTCTTGGCACATTTAGATATTATTCCATCCCATGGAATCCAAGAGTTTATTAATCTGTAACACTGTTTTGCAAAAGATAACATAAATGGACATTCTAGGCACTGATGATTCATTTAGTACTGTATTGAGCTTGCTATAGCTCGGTGTGTAATTTGAAATTCTCTTTTCTAAAAATCTATTTACATATTTATCATTGTTTGCATCTATAAAGACCCAGGCAACTCACCAATAATATACTCCAACCTAAATTATTTTGAATTTATACAATAAGTAGAGGAAAGGTGCTGACCTGCTGGAATAGTGAGTGGTATAGCATTAAGTAGTCAGGGTCTTGGGAAAGCCCAGTCTAGATTACAGTGCTTTGGAGGTCTTTCTGAGACATAATAGTTGGGGAAATACTGTCCTAGTTGGTAGGCACTTAATGAGTAACGCATTCAGGTAACTGCTGAAACTGGTACACCAGAAGTAACTAGGGAGTGAACAAAATTAATTTTTGGGTCACACCAAAATAGCATTTGAATTACACTCTGGCACAGATTTTAGTACCTTGAGAGAATAACAATTTAAAAAAAAAATACTAGGTAGATAACATAGGAAAATACACTCAAGAACACAGAATATATGGAGACCCCAGTAGATGTCACATAACACTTGACTCATAAGAAATCAACTATGTGACTGTTCTTACAGATTGTGTCATCATTTTACTTCAGGTTCATTACCAGTGGCTTTCACACCCATGAAATTTATGTCTCAGACTGATTTTTACCTTGTCCTTGAACCTTTCTTTCTACAGGAAGACTCCTGATGTTTCACAGTTACTGATTTTATAAGACTCATCAATTTTACCTGAGGTAGCAACATTCTAGATCAAGATTCAGCAAACATTTTCTAAAAGGGCCAGATAAATGTTTTAGGCTTTGTGGGCCTTATGTTCTTTTATAACTACTAAATTCTGCCATTGTAGTTTGAAAACAGCCATAGATAACACAGAAATGAATGAGCATGGCTGTGTTCTACTTTTTCTTTTTAAAATTGTATTTTTTATTGAGATAATGTTTTATAACATTGTAGATGATTTAGGAGTGTGGCTGTGTGCTAATAAAACTTCATGGAAACTGAAATTTTAACTTCATGGAATTTTCTTTATCGTAAACTCTGCTCTTTATTTTTCCAACCACTTTAAAATTTTTAAACCATACTTTGGTCATGGGCCATACAAAAACAGGTGGTAAGCCATAGTTTGCAAACTGCTATGCTAGTAAAAGCTGGCCACTACAGACATTAAGAGGCTTTAAGTAAAGGCAATACTGCACACATCTGGATTTTAATTCTAACACTAATATAAAGTTTTGGTCATGCATCCATGACTTGAGACAATCACAGTTATTTTTTAGATTAAAGCATAAGTCATACATTTAAATATTGCTGTTTTATTTTAACATTAATTCTCACAGAGAACTGTGAAGCTAACAATAAGGTAAATTATTTAAATGCTGCCACTAATTACATAGTCACAACATTCTCACTCAGAGGATAAAAACAGTACTCAAATGACTGACTGTAGTGGGAGAAAATTTCTTCTAATGTAGAAAGGGATCATACCTTTAAATAGGTAAATAATGGGCAATTTCAAAAAATGCTTTTCACTCCTAAAAAGCCATATGGCCAAATCAAGTCTAGCGACACTTCTTTCACCTATACGCACACGATGTGATAAATCACAGGAATCTGGAAAATGGAAAGAGAGTCCCTTCTTCAAAACCAGGAAATATCAGTATCCTGGAAGTTTCTTTGCACACTAATACAACATTCAAAAATCATTCTTGGATCTTAGATTTACACATCCCTACAGATACAATAGTAAGAAGTGAACCTGGTATTTAAAAAAAGTTAACACAAATAATGTGGCTGTTATTAGCTGAAGAATACCTTAAGACTGAATACAACAGTTAAATCACAAATTAAAAATGTGAACATACATTTTTTTCTAACCTTCCAGTTTCAGTAAATGTATTCACTGTAGAAAAATACATTTCTTCATGTTGTAATTTCAAAAACTTTAATCTCAATGATTCAAAATGAAAAGCATCTGGTTAAACTCGTAGGTCTGATGGTTGCAGTGAAATATTCACATGACACAATTTTGTACGCTGCAAACATTTTAATGATTATTGTTGAGCATACATTTTGGAAAACTTTTACGTCAAACTGCAACAAGTTAAATAAATGTTTATAATATACAAAGAAAATACAACCAAAGTAAAACTTGCTTTAAGTGTGCCTTGCACCTAAACCAGTGTTTTTTTTCCCCCTTAATATAGCTTTACTTTTGAGCTGCACAAACACACTTAAGATTTTGATCTTTATAGTATGGCATTTAGGAAATAAAAATAAACTCCCACCTCGAGGAAATAAAAAGATTGTGCATGATTATATGCCAAACGAGAGAGAGAACACTAGAATACTCTGATAGTGCAGGCATCAATAAAAAGGAAAAGAAAAAGCTTGAGATGCTCATTAACTCTCTATGTTTTAAAGAAGTAGGATTTTTGACCAAATAGCTTAAAAGCCAGCAGAACAGGGATCAGTGATGGCAACTGTAGTGTATGAAGTATGAAATGACAAACTTTACACAAATACACTGTTAGAAATTTACCAGTGAACACTGAAGATCTGAGAAGCTGCTCTTTGGAACAGTCAAGTAGGACCACCTTATTCCAGTCACATAAGCCCTTGTAGCAACACAGTGTTCTGTGCTATATACTTGCTGGCTGGGTAGTTAAAGGATTGGTTTTGTCATTAGCAGCTAACAAACTCATTCCACATGTTCTTAAAGCCTTAATGGTGGAAAAAAAGGCAAGTGTCATTAGCGTGGAGGATCATATACTTCTCTGCAAACAAACACAAGAGGCTTCACTAGTATTTTTTAAAGTCTCTGATGTCTCCATTGCACTTCAAAACTCAATTGAGATGAAAGCCCTTCTCCATTGTAGCAGCTAGCAGACGCTCTCGCATGATCTCTTCCGAAGAATATTCAGGCAACTTAAGGTAATGCACACATGTATTCACTGATGGATAGCTTGCATCAGTAGCATCAACCTACAGAAAGAAAAGTGACAATAACAGAAGACCATGGCTTTAGATATTTCTTTCTTTCAATCCTTAAGTCATTTAATTACTTAGCTGGAGAGTTTTTTACCTTGCGTACAACTGTGAGCCTGGGATGTAGGTTAGCCAGTCCACCTGGGGGTAATGTTGAACAACCAGTGGTAAACTGTAGGAATGCTTTCCTTTCATCTGAAGACATGCCACATAAAACCCTCACAAACCTCAGGAAACCAGGACTACAAGAAGAAAAATATATTGATTTGACATCTGATTTAAATGTAAAACACTAGCATAACTTTGTAAGCCAGCAATCACCCCAAAACCCAGTTGTCAGAAGAACACATGCTGGAAGAACAGCACTAGCTAGAGACTCTTGGGTAAGTATGAAATAAGCTGGTACAAGCTACTTTAAAAATATTCTTCAGGTGCCTCCCCGGTGGCGCAAGGGGTTAAGATGCAGCACTGTGGAGCAGTGCACAGTGGCTGTGGCACAAGTTCGATGCCCGACCAGGGAGGTGGCCCACATGGCACAGCAGACCTCTCCTGGCTCATCAGCTGCTCCCCTCAGCAGTGTATTTCAGTCAATCCCTCTTTTCTGTTCCCCACACTCTCTGGTGAATTCTCTTAACCCCCGCAACCTCTGGCCTGTACCCCAGTTCTTATATGCATAAATAAATGAATCTTTTAAAAAAGATATTCTTCAAAGACTGTCTTGTACTTATAAATGGTAAGAACTAAAATAGTGAAAGAAATATGGAGATCAAATATATTATCCAACAAGCAGCAAATCAGAAAAGCTCAAGATGTATTTGCATAATTAATCCAAATATAATTACCAAGAGATACCTGAAATAATTTTCACTATAGTGAAATAAACTGCTATTGTGCCTAAACACAGATGATTTTCATATTTTTTTTCATAATTTTAAACTGAAAAAGTCCAAACTTAAAGATGCTGCATGATTTCATTTTTTAAAATGAAAAAATGGGGCAATCGGGCCTCCCTGGTGGCACAAGGGGTTAAGCACCACACTATGAAGCAATCCACAGACTCTGCAGCACGAGTTCGATCCCTGGCCGGCCAGGGAGCAACCTACATGGCATAGCAGACCTCTCCTGTCTCGCTGCTGCTCCCCTCAGCAGTGTATTTCAGTCAGTCTGCCTGTTCTGTTCCCCACTCTGTCTCTGGTGAACCCTCTCACCCCGCTGCATCTCTGGCCTGTACCCCAGCTCTTGTATGCATGCATAAACCAATCTTTAAAAATAAATAAATAAAGCAATCAAAATTAATCAATAGGGATAGTGATTTTCATAACTAAAAAATATGATGTGGAACCTGTGGAGTTGTTTCTTGTTCTGGGTTCCAATTACACTGGTATATTTATGAATATGAAAATTCTCCTGGAAGTACATGTAATTTGTGCATTTCTGTTATGAGTCATTAGAAAGTTTACTTAAAAAATAAACAACAAAAAAGCTATATAATCATTATTTAAGTTTAAAATAATTTTTATTACATCATTTATATAAATTTGGAGACTTAAAAAAATAATACAGGGTCTTACTATATAGGGTATAGTGATATGAAAGGAAAAAAATCAACTAAGGAACTGATCCAGATTAAAAACACATCACAACTAAATGCAGTGTTAAGATATAAGGGAATAGGGGTGAAAGCACTCTTTTTTAATTTTTTTTTTCTTAAGATTTATCTTCTTTATGAATAGAAGAACTAGGGTACAGGCCAGAGTTACTGGGGTTGAAAGGATTTACCAGAGACAGAGTGGGGAACAGAACAGGCAGACTGACTGAAATACACTATTGAGGGGAGCAGTAGGCAAGACAGAAGTCTGCTAAGCCATGTGGTTATCTCTGGTGGGTCCGGGATCAAACATGTGCTACAGAGGCTGTGGACAGATTCAGTGCTGTGCTTAACAGCTTGCACCATCAGGGAGGCCCTGAAGAGAGTACTCTTTAAGGACATTACTAGAATACTCAACAGATCTAGAAGAGGAACTATACACTAGCTAATAGCATAATATGATGAACTTGCTAGCTAGTGTATGTGGAAGAATATCCGTATTCTCTCATAATGCAAACTAAAGTAATACAAAGTAAAGGGACATGATACATGGAATTGAGTGTCAAATGATTAAAAAAAGAAATAGCACTTCTCATTGTATACAGACATATATTATGTGTATGTATAAAGAAAGACAATATAAAGGACATACAGCAACATGTTAAATACTGACGACTATGGGAAAAGGATAAATGGAAATTTTTTCAACTATTCTTTGATTTTTCTGTAAGTTTGGCATTATTTGAATATTAAAGGCTAATATAAAAGCAGTAAATCCTAAAAAACTTTTACAATATTTAAAATAATGAGCAATTAAAATGCAATGAAAAAGGAATCATAATAGTCAATACACAACTGTCTTTTTGTATAAGCTCAGCATTATGAATGGATATGCATCTGGGTTACTGGTGAGAATTAACTGATTTCTCACTTTATGAACGTAATTCAGAGTTGGCTTTCTTTAGAGAACCTGCCATTTAACACAGGAACATAAACAAATTTTGTTGTAAGAAAATACCAAAACATACCTGTCACGTGTATAACCCAGCTTAGGTTCTGTGTAATTAATAATATCCTCTGCTGCCCAGGATGGTGATTGGTTTCCACAAAGAATCATTTGGACTTCTTCATGGCTGAAGGAACTTAATTTCTCCATTGGAAAAACTTTATTAAACCCATCTACATTACATACATGGCAAAAAATAAAAACAAGATACATAACTCTAACGTCATTGCAAAATACTGAATTTCAAATCAGATAATATACTGATAAGTGTTTGAAAAAACAAATATAAATTAATTTGAAATAAAAACTGCTTGCATTTTAAGTACAGAAATTTCTGCTTAATATCTTATCACAAATATGAACAGAGAATAAATAATTTAGTCACTAAGTGGTAGCCAAGTTCTAATAATTTCCCAGCCAGTTTCTCACATCATTTATACAAGCCAACTAAAAGCAGTGTTCACATTTTCAAAACTATATAGTAAGTGACAAACACGCTAATACACATTCTTCCACCTTCACCTGAAAAACTTAGGTCCTAACACAGCTTTAATTCATTCTGATCATGTAATGTGGAAATATGCAATCAAGACTAAAAGAATGTCCCCCACTGCTTAGGATAAGTAAGCCAAAGGTAAGCTATAATTTGAGGAAATTCCAACCTGTTTTGGGTACTTTGTAGGACACCTCACTATCTGCAAGACAAAACACTACAGGGCAAATCTAGAGATTATCAGCAATTCTTAACCATAGCAGGGCCTAAATTTCAACTGTCCCAAAGTAAAAGAAGAGAACTTAAGCTAAAGATGCTTAAAAATTACCTCTAAAGGCTTCCATCTGTTTTTGAATACCCGTATGCATACAAAAGTCAAACATCAAATCCACATATTCTTCTGCATTATCCATTGTTATCATCTGCAAAGGAAAATTTGCCAACATTATTGTTACTTTCATTATCTAGGAATATTTCAGTAGCACTTAGTCCTCATTAATAGGCTATTTCTGAATTCAGCTATATTAAAAGCAATGTTTTTACCTCATCTTCACCACTTGGCTTGAGATCTACTGCTGTAAAACCATATATTCTTGAGGAAGGGCAAAACTGAAAATTTAAACTGGGAGACAAAAAGGGATATTAGCTTAACATTTACATATCAATGATACTGAATCATTATTATATAGCTACCAAAATCATGGAACACCCCCCACAAACACCCCCCTAAAAA